GCCAGCTGCTCTATGTTGCTCTTTCAAGCTGCTCTTTCTGCCATGCTCTTTGTATAGAGCTGCAATTTGWAGATTCTTACAGTACCTGCATTCCTTAATTTCACTTTTTTCATAATTTACAAACAGAAGAACTGAAAGTGAAATTAAAATGCCCATCATATTAGGCACTGTGGATGCACTGGTAGCAAGAACTAGATCTAGATTTTTTTATTATTCTTACATTGTAAAGGTAATTTTTAGCCAAATATGATTTATTAGGATTATGAAGAAAAGCACACTGGACACAAATTTCTTCTKTTAGCATTTTGCTATGTGTGTATCCATAAAGGTAGTGTTAACTAACTGGAAAATTCAGAACTGGGAGTGGGTTTTATTTTACATGACCCCTAAACTTCAGGACACTCCAGTTTGAAACACACATTCAGGTGCATAAGTATCTACATAAATAAACGAATCCTTTGTTGACCAACATACACCCCTTTTGTAACCTTGCACAGAGAAGTGTGACTCTCAGAASGACCTTTGGGATGTGACAGGCAAAAGACTAGATCACAAGCTGAGATAGTTTACATACATTTGTTCTGGATTTGTAAATCACTTTTATTTCTTACACCTTTTGTTTTGGTGGAAATTCCTCAGCAAATTGTTAGGCTAAGGTATGAGCACCGAACTTTCAACTCTTAAATCTTGTGCAATTTTGGAATAATACCATGAATGTGCAACAGTAGGTTGAATTTCACACCCTGTCCTGACAACTCTGTCCAGAGACAGGATGCCAGCGGATAGCAGATGGATCACTGCATTGGACAGTTATTCTGTAGAAATTGTTCACTGAACATTATTTAAAAAAAAAAAAAAAAAAAAAAAAAATGTATCTTCTTTATAATAAACCCATCTTCTTCTGGTAAGAATCTAAACTTGTTCAAGTTTTGAATAAAGACTATCTGAATTAGCCTATATTTAACTCCTGATAATGACAGCTGCTGTGTTCTGTAACAGTGTACTCTGACTATGGAGTGCTTTCTATCTTTAGATTCTTGCAGACTCTGTGTGTACAGAGCAAGCCAAAAGACSGGGGCTTTGTTCTACTGTTCATTATGGAAATATTCACAGGTTGTTCATAAGACCTCTCATGTACGTAAGATAAAAATACTACTTTTATGGTTTTATGTCACCTTGAAATGCATGTTTCATTTCTGTTGTGTATGGAAAGTCTCATTGGGTGCAATGCTATTTATAAGAATTATCAACTTTTTATTTAAATTTTGAGTGTGTACATGCTTTTGCTAGGTGGTCTGGGAGGACTGCTTCATCACTGGACTGAGAAATTGGATGCTTGTGACTGGTATATATAGCAAATCTGGTGGCCCTGTACATATTCATTTTCTGGGGAATCACACTTGTATGCATGTAAAAACAGATTAGGAGCCAGATTTTGCCCTAGATTATTGAAGATGGAACATACAGGAATAACCAGGGGCTGAGAARGTGGGGCTTTTGTGGGGGAAGCTTTGGTTTATGTCTCTGACCTGGTTGATGCTTTTTTCCTTGTACCAAGCATAACTATTCCAGTAGGACAGATGGCATAAACTGTCAATGCATGGTTTGGGATAGCATCATCCTGCCAGTGCCACCGTTTCCATGTACCTCCTAAAATGGTACCTGAAAATTTCTGGTTTCTATAAAGTATTATTTTGCAACAAAATACCTCCAGCTCTATCTGCTCATAAAGTAGTAGTTGTTTTCCTGGTTGGTTACACGCTGAAATAATGGCAATGTTTTGGATTACAAGATGAGTGGTGGCATGTATCCCTCTCCTCTGCTGAAATACTCTGTCATTACTGTTGGGAGAATGCGTATTGGGTAAGACAGATCTCTTTCTCACTTTATGGAGTTCAAATTGTTCCTAAAGTTCCTACAGAATGCTTGGGCTCATTACTGCTCATTACTCATTACTCAATAGTTAAATGGACGATTCCTGGGCTCTAATTTGTGGTTTTAATTAAGGCAGGTTTGGTGGGGCTCTGCACAGGTCATGTCAGAGGCAGCAGAAGTGCACTAATACAACTCCTCTGGGAGGAATCCTCCTTTCAGCTTTCCAGCTATGCCGAGAGATGCCAGAGGCAAGCTGTCCTTAATGCAGCATGGGCTCCTTGCTCACAGGTACACTGCTGGATGGAGCAAGAGACCTGTTAAGGAAATGCTTTGGGTGAAAGGACTGCAGTATCAACAGAAAATCCTTCCTCTCCTTCCCACCTGGCAGTGTGCACAAACTGCCTCTTTTCTAGCTTCAAAAACACAGTGCAAGATCAAGTCACCTTCAAGTCTCTTCTACCTGTAAGGAAAATGACAAAATTGCAAGGATTTCAGGAACTCTTTGGCTGCCCTGACACCAGCCGTGCAACATTCCTAASAGTGAAGGGGATAAACAGATACTGGATATATACAGAAGCAAACTGCTGAGGCATATGAACATGGAAACTGGATGTATTATACACATGCTAAATTTCTTCCCATCCTTTCCACAAGAAACTGGACTGYCCCAAATTGCCCTTGAGCACAAATAATACAGATAGCTAGTTTGTACTATCACTAGAGCATTGATGCACACTCAGTGACTTCTCAGCTACCTACAGATTTGTCAGGCACTCCACCCAGCATCTTATTATGTTTTTYAGGGTCTTTTTTAGCCTGTTTTTGTTCCTTTCAGATTCTTGTTAACTATTCTCCTAATTTTTATATCCTCTCTTTGGAGGTGATAACAGGTTGCTTTACACCCACAAACATGCTGAATTTCAGTTCATTATGGAGATGGTTACAAAATAAGAAACAAGAGTTATATATTGAATTAAATTTTGTTCAGTGCTCAGGACTACATCAAGAACTTACTCACTTACTCTACTTGTAGATTCATCTGATTAGATCCAAACATTCATGAAGCCTAACAGTGTAAACATAATGTGATAACTAAGAACATAATTACTAACATTATAATGATTTTTATATTCTGCATRTGTCAAATGTTATGTAAATATTCACTTACAGTGAAACCACTGGTATTAAGACTAGCTACTAAGATGCATGTAAACTGTAAACGATAGCAGAAATATTTAAAATAGCTGAAACTTATTACTAAAAATAATCAAGRAAAATATGTATACTCCTGTCCACCAAATCACAGAAGAAGAGATGAAATGGAATGCAATGTAATGTATGGCAATAAAAAAAAAAATCAAAGGAATAAACATACATCTTGGCTAAACAAGAAGACCAAAATTTCTAAATTACTTTGGCAGCTGACAAAATACAAAAAGGAGGAAAACAAATACTTTAGATGGGTATAAGCAAGAAGAAACTACATTAACTCAAGAAAATGAAGGAATACTTTGAATACCAAAAGAACTCACATTATGGGCAAAAGGGCTCTATTCTATATGAAAGATTAGTATCAGCATTTATTTGTGAATCTTAAAATTCCTCAAGCAGAGTATGCATTATGCTTTAGCAGGAAGGCTGGACTAGATGATCTTAGGAAGTCCCTTCCAGCCTGTTATTCTGTGTTTCTCTGATTATTTTAATCATAAACTATCAYACCGACAGTTTAGTGGTCTTGTCCATTTCTTGTCACTCAGAAATCCAGTACTTAGCTGACAATTAAGCAAAGATTTTTTTTACTCTCAATTCATATCATGACTTCGAGGTTGTCATTTTTCTTGGGCAGAAGCAGGCTGGAAGGTTCAGAGATTCCACTGAAGTGAAGCAGAGGTAATAAATGGTAGGCAAAAGAGAAACTACGGATCTTAGTTGTGTTTTTGCAGGACTAACCTGAGACAGGACTAACCTGAGACACTTTTCAATAACATTATTTTCATTAAATGAAAATATAATCCCTTCTGAAGTGCTCTCCAGATAGGCATGTACATGCTTACTCACCCATAACCACTGGTCACCTTTTCCTATATTTATTCTGAGATACTACTTTTGTCTGGTCTGGGACACTTCAAAGTCATTTAATCAAAATGGAAAGTGCTCATACTTCAGTCTATTACTTAATTAATTGCTTGCAAAAACAGTTACAACTAATTTGCTCTCATCTGTGGGAATGTTTTAGAAATAGACATCTATTAAACTAACCAGCTTGGTCAGCTTCTCATCCAGTCCGTCCCTGGAAAGACTTGCCTTCATTTATACCACCTCCAAGGGAAGCATCACACAGGTCACCTCTAGAAGTTCTGCCTCAAAGAGAGAATCCCTGAAGYGAACCATTAGCAAGTTAGCAAAATAGCATTTGCCCAGTCTGTGGCACTGCTTGTGAAAGAACCGCTTACAGCAATTCAGACTCAAAACCAGAGGGTACTGGCAACATAAAGGGATATTACATAAAAGAAGGACTACATAAAAACTTAGGATAGGATGTCTAGATGGTAAGCAGGGCAGTGATGATCATGTTTTCAGTTGTGTCATTACAGCAGTTTTTGTAGTAGAGCTGCAGACCTACTCCGACAGATCTGTCCCCTTACAGTGAAGGCATATAACTCAACCATCTCTCTTCCCAGGTTCACATTCACAACAGCAACCCTGCTTTCCAAATCTTTTAGGCTTTATCAGTAACACAGTCAGGATCTACTCCGCATCTCTGTTCCTTCAGGGAATCATTCATTACCTTCTCCCTATTTTTAGTGAATAGATGTACATGTCTAAAGCAACACGCGGTGTTTTGAAGACTGTTTTACAACCATTCCTTGTAAGGAAACTAACTTAGGAGATACATTTCCCAGCAATACCTTCAACAAGAAAATTCAGAGTAAAATCTATAACCCCTGCATCATCATCTACAGTAGTCTGTTTCTCTCCACTGGCTACAGAGACCCTTACAGATGTTATTACCTCAACTAAACACATAAATATTTCATGGTGTCCAACATCTGAAAAAACTGCAGGTAATAGCAACCAAAGAGCAGGCTAAAAAAACACAAGCAAAAACCTGACAGTGAACTTACTCTGAAAACATTTTCCACCCTTGCAATACTCTTCCCAAAGATGGTTCCAAGTTGGTCTCCAGTCCCAGCCAACAAGAAGCCAAACAGTGGAATCCCAAATAGGGCATACAAGATGCAGAAAATCTTGCCACCAACAGTGCTTGGGGCCATCTTCCCATACCCTGAGGAGAAAAATAATTGTTAGACTCTCAGAATTTATGYATGGCTTTTTAGAAAACAAACTAATAGATTTTTAAAAGCTGCTMTTCCTACAGACATGTATTTTTTCCACATATAATTCCTATTTATAGACTTCCCATGGAATGATGTCATTTCCCAAGCAAGCTACCATCTCTACCGTCTGCTATTCCAGTTTTTCTTGCTTTTCTTTCTCAGTTACCCRCATTTTCTACAGAAAATCTATCAGCCTATCTAAAATTGCTGTTTGCTTAATTAATCTAGCTGATATCATGGCACAAAAATCCCTCCATGCTGGCCTGGTGCCTACATGCTGCTCCTCCTCTTGGCCTGTGCCAATAGTTTCCTGACAGGAGTGTGATTCACCTGACAAGGCTCATTTTCAGTGGTTAGCTCTTACTTTCCTCAGCCCCTCATCACACAGATTAGTTACACTGCAGTCTCAAAACTGGTATCCACACTATGCAAAACTTCCTTTGAATACTTTATTTARTAAAGCATTATGACCCCAGTAGCCATGGTATTTCTGTTAAAATGTTAAAGAGRAAAAAACAAAGAATTGTGACAGCAATATTTGGACCTTTTTATTTAAGATCCAATCTCAATTGAAATGTCATAGAGATCTTGATTTTAACTATACATAATCACTTAGACATTAAAAATTATCACACAATCACAAATCACTGATGCAATAAAGCATCCAGAGGGGAGGAAATCTAAGAAAGCGTCAGCTCCTATTCCTATTGGTTTGGCAGCACTGCCACTGGATATATCTCTGATATAATTCTCTGTCATGGGATGGTGAAAGAACTATGCTGACACACAACAATGCATGTCCCATAACCTACTGTCCTTTTCACAGCTGCATCCACGATCCCAGATTTCTCCTAAAAGTCCAAGAAAGTCCAGGCTCCCTGTGGGCCACTGGACTGAGGTTGACCAGGTAATCTGTTGAGTTTCTGTCTAAGAGAAGCCCTAACAGGCCTCTGGTGGATACACTAAAACTATATTCATGCCCTGGCACAATACACAGACTTTACGCAGCCTATAAAAATCTCATTCATGGAGTAATTAAAACAAATGTGGGRAAAAATCCAAGGTCTTTTCAATATGTTATTTAAATAGCAGATGTCAATGAATATGCCTGCATAAACTATGCCTACATAGTGGCATTTATTTTAATGAGTAATTTAAAAGCTTGTCACTTGGGTCTATTGTGTAAACAATAAGGGAGGGTTTTCTTACGCATGAATCAGAAATGTTTTCTTTCTTGTCACCCACTGGTTTTATGCTACCATTAAAAATACATGGTAATGCAGCTTAATTATAGAAAAACACGGATTGTACACTCTATAAAATCACTCTTGCCCCCTCACTCTGACAACAAAGAAAAGGCAGAGCCAAAGGCAAATCTCTACTGTTAGAGATGATCATCACAGCAAGTCTTTTAGCTGCCACAGAATTTTCAGTTGTTTTTGTGGTTTTATTACCTACTTAAAAGCCTGCAGAATTCAGTCAGATTCTCACAATTTTTRAAGGGTTATGTGATTGTCAAGTTATTTGTCTGTACAGTCATCAGTGTGTGCATCACAGCTGTAATGTGGAGAAGCACTTTATACAATATTTAAAGCAGAATAATGCTCAAAGACAAGGCAAATAAAAATCAACAATTTGCCAGTGATTTCCAAATAATTAGATCTCCTGATCTGATTATTGTGACAGCACTAAAATCAAGCTTATAAAACTGCTGTATAATCGTCCACAGATTAACTTTATTGACAATGTTATTCTTTTTATTTTTTCTTTTTCCTTCAGACCATCTTCTGAAATCCCAGCTTGTTGAACATTCTTCAAGAGAGGAACTGGCTCAGAGAGGAGAGATTAAAAACCTTTGCATATCTAAGGCCAGCATTGGGATCAAGAGACTAAACACATTGCACACAATACATGGGGGGAGAGATGAAAGGGCCTGAACGATGATCTTATAAAATTAGTTGTTCAAGAAAAGTGAATGGAGCAATTCAGTACATCCTTCATTTAATACAGAGAAATGTGTCAATAATTCAAGGCCATAAATTCAAGAAGGGAAAAAACAAATGGGATTTCTTACTTTTCTTTCTTATATTCTTATTTACTTTCTTACTTCTTTCTTTCTTATAATGTGCAATCATTTGTGGAATTCTTTCCAATTGTCAGTATTGAAAGCAAGTAAGAGTTTTAGAAAGGATGTAATAGTTATGAGAACACATTTCCAGTCACAGGGAGTAGGGTATGAGAAGAATCACTTCTATCAAACTTCAGAGCATAAGTCAAAATTAATTGATGTACTTAGGAACAAAGTTACACTTCTGGACAAATTCATCTATAAAATTAAAATCCAAATTCCCAACAACCATAACATAGTTATTTCATTGGGTATGACTTCTTGATCTTTACAGTGAAAACTGAAACCATCTGTAGCTACATCAAGAACAGGGCTATAAAGCCTGCACCAATATTACCTGTTTCAGCTCAGCATTGCTATTCTACCCTCATTGTGTAAACAGCTTCTGACACTTACCCAGAGACTCCGTGCCCTTGACATATGCTGGAGTCATGTCTTCTGCTAACAGAGAAATACACTGCAGCTACCTTATTTCTTTGTGTCTACCTTCCTAAAATTTATTTCATTATCCATGTCTCAGTGTGACTATGTATTTTTAAAAATAAACAATAAACATACCTATAGTTGTGATGACTGTTCCAGCAAAGAAAAAGGCACTTCCAAGGTCCCAATGACTACTGTTGTTAGAGGAATTTCCAATGGGACTGACTCCTGCATTAACAGCATCAACAGCATGCTGCACAGAGAGAGACAATGGATCAGCCTTATGCATGCCTTACTGTATCCTGTGCAAGTTGGTACAGGCTCCAAAGTGAAATTCCTAGGACTATGGAAAGAACATAGATATAAGCTTTTTAATGTGTGCTCATAGTAACATCTTTTGTACACACGAGTTGAATAAACAACTGAACTGAATATCCATTAAGGTGGAAGATGCAATGCATAAACAAATGACAAAATATACAAAGCAGTTGAGAAGTAGAGGACCAACACCACAAATTCATCCATAAATACCATTCTTGTAGCAACTACTGCCAAAGGAAAAATTCATCAATGGGAACAGCTCATGTTAGAAGCAGCTAGAAAGGTGATAAATACAAATAATGTTTGTGAAGTCAACTGAAGCTTGTCAGCCAAGGATTTAAATCCCCAGACAACTAGTATTTGATTAAGTAATTTATATTTTATGYTAACTACAGAAAAAAATATGGCATATATATACCCCAGTTTAAATGAACAAATAAAATGCCTATGGAAACATCATGAAAAAGCTTTGTGATCAGCTTGAACTTCCCAATTGCCACACTGCACATAATCTCATGTCCAGTGAGATCAAATACAAATACAGCATGATACAGATACTCCCAGAGAGTGCTTGAATGAACCATATCCTGAATAGAAGCTAAGGTAGCTATACTGCTTCCTTGTAACTGTCCTGTGTCTCACATAGCACTGAATCAAACCAGGCAGACATACCAGCCCCCTGAATGTTTGTTGGGAATTTCTAAAAATTCACCATATTCTGTCATGGGGACGTACACATTTACTTTTCATTGCGGGTTCACAGTCCAAAGGAAAATAGAGCTAAATACATTAGCCTACAAAGCACAGAAATAAATCCCTCACCAGCATTTGGCATATTCACCTGAATTGCTGTAAGTTCACTTTTGAGATGCCCTTCAGCACATATTTTCAAGTTGCTTACAGAGCTCATGCAAGCTATTCTTTGTCATAGAGAATTCAGACCTCACTGTAGAACAGCAGATGAAACGACTGCCTTCTTCCTTTCCAAATGTTCCCAACTGAGTTTAATTTCCATAATTAAATAATTAATAATTATTTTATTATATAATTAATTTCCACAGAGGAACCAAGCTTCTCTCTTTCTGCCTCTTAACATTTTCAGCTCTTTGCTTTTCTCCCATTGTGCTCCAACCTCTCTTTATGTTGCTGTTATCATCTACTCACACTACTGCCAGACCTTCTCCTTCTCTCTCTGCTGTTTGCTCCTCCTCCTAATTACTGCTACAGTCTATAGACTTGGTAGTTGCAGCAAATTATTGCTGGGCTCAACAAGTGAAGCAAAGTGCTGCCTCTTGCATCCTCTGACTTTGTTCAATATAGAATTCCCACCTATCAATACAGGTTTGTTTTGACTTTCCTTATTCCATTTGTTTAACTAGCTCTCTTTTCCCTCAGACTTATGATCTATGAATTGTCACTGTGGTTTTGTATTGCACCTTTTCCTATATGGTCCATGTGCAAAGCAAGGTTAGCATTTCTATTTTACCATTGCCCCATTTCTTACCTGTTCATGTCTCTGAGCTCTCTCTTGATCTTCTCTATAACCTCACATTCTCTTGTAGATTCTTTCCCTAGTCTTCATGATAAACTTTTTTCAACATTAATCTCTTTCCACCAATGGCTTATTTACCCCACCTTTTCTTTTCTTCCACTTCTATTTTGCACTTTTTCTCACTCATTTTTTGCCTACATTTTCAACTGAGTTCATGATCACAAATGTTTCTCTACTTTTTAGCTTGGGCTAGTTTCAGTTAATCTGTTTCCCAGCTTTTAGTTATTCATCATATCGCCTCACAAAAAGGGAAAGGAGTAGGAGGAGAGGCACATGGGCAAGAACAGAGACAGCTATATCTAAAGAGATCAGTATGGGAGAGGAGCCTTTTTTAAAAGTAGAACTGCTACATGCCAGGTTAAGCTGATTGTGAAATTATAGCATGAGCAAACTCTAGGCTGGACAGTTGCACTTCATGTGGGCAGAAAGCCAGGGTTCCTCAGCACACGTCCACACCTCAAGAAACAGGGATATATAGAAAGGAAGTGTTTTGGATCAGACACTTTTAAAGGGCCTCTGTACCAGTTGCTGRCATATTGCAGGTGGCATGAACGCAGAGATCATTCATTGATTTATCAGAACAGCATAAATCAGCATAACAGACAGGCTGACCGTTTAAATAGACTATGACACACTGTCAGCTACCCTGGCACATTACTTCTGCCAAAGAATGCTGTCTGCCCTCCTCTTGAGTGTGTGAATGTCAACAAGCTAATTACACTTAAATCACACTTGCTTTACACAGTTTAACAAGTCTTTTAGGGCCAAGCACTAACCTCTGAAGTGAAGGAGTATCCTGTTGCCTTAGAKAGTTTTGAGATTCTCAGACTCCCTTCCCATCCAGAGCAAATTCATGTTTTCTTTAAAGCTCCACTGACATCATTCATTTATAAATATCCAACTATTCCATTACTGTCTTTTAATACATAGTATTTTGCATGCAGCAATGGAGGACAAAAAGAGAGCAGCAAGACAAAAGCAGCCAGCAGCCTGCAGCTAACAGCACTTAAACATCCAATTTCAGCTCGTGAATGAGAAAAAGATGCCTTACTACTACCAGCACAAGTCCACCTACACAGAAATCTCCTGCTACAGGACAAGTTACACAAAACTGAAACAAAGACACTATCACTGGCAAGACTCTCCCAGTTCACACAGACCATGAAATTTTACAAGTCTCCCATCTGAAACTTCAGATAGGCTTTACAGCAATCACCTGAAGAGATGCAATCCTCAGATAATCCCAGAGTAAGGAAAAAACAATTACCAGAATGCTAAACACTCTGTTAAYAAACCTTACATATTTAAGACATTTAAAACTACTAGTTTCAGCTACTTTTATATTTGAAATATTGAAAATAACAGGTCATGAACGTATCCAAAGCTGTTCCACACTTACTCCTTCCCTGATCCCTTTTTCCAAGGCTCAAGAGGARCCACAAGCATAGTATACAAGTACACAGTATTTTTTCAGGACACTTTATTAATTGAAAGAGCAATCTTCTTTAATTAATAACCACCAATCTAGGGAAATTTTTCTTGAAATACAACCCATTCAGGGAAGGCAATAACTTGAAATACCTCAAAGGGCTGAAACTGTCTTCCTTGATGTTCAAGTAATGGATGTATACTAAAGCAAACAGGCAGGTAGGAGTGAAGAGAATGACAAAAATACCAAAGTAAATACAAGTACTCAATATTATTTGTTTTCAAAAACACGTATTTCTGATCAAACTTTCAGTCTGGTTCCCTACAGGCTGATGTGTATTTTACTGCCAGTCCCTTTGGTATTAGCACACTACAGTCCTTCTGTAACAAAAAAGACATAGTCTGATGACATGGTCTGTGTGGGACCAAAGGCAAATCTCTCATTAGAAGCTCAGCATTTGTGATGATACTGGGACAATTGAATCCTCTATTTCCAAAGAGAATGCAATCAAACTCCAACTCAGTTTGAAACACAATTCATCAATTTCACTTGCCGATATTCAGGCAGCAATATTTAAATACTATAAGGGATAACCCACTCTGGGCTGCCTAGTTGCTAATATATGAGACTCAAAGTCCAGAGAAAAGTACACTAACTTGTCTCACCAGGTGTCAAGGGTTCTCCCCCACAACACAGGACTACAACAGAACCTCTTCTCTCTGGATAAATACACCAATAGTCTCCKTACGCCAAACATGAACTACTGGGGTTTCACCATCCCTGCCCTAGCAACCCTGTACAAATGTTGGGCTCAGTTTGTCCCAGCTCTGTCCTGCCCAGCCACAAGCTTTCTTAAGCTGTGGTCTGACCTGTGGGCTGAAGTTGCAGCCCAGCCTCAACTTGTCAACTGGAAGCACCTGAAAGTCTGGGCTAGACCATGCCCCTGTCTCCTGCAGCCAGCCAGCCATCCCCCCTGGCTTGCAGTGGTGGGGGTCACAGCTGCCAGTCCCTGTGCCCTGGGGCGCAGGTGGTCCTCACTGTGCCTGGATAGTCACACATCTGGTCCTCTTGGGGTGTGAGTGAATACATGCCAGCTTTCACTAGTGTACRAAGGCTAGTGTATGAGGCACATTCTTACATCCTTATTTAGATCGCTAAATAAGATGATTACATCAAGAAAAAGTCTAGAGTTATGCCCATAAGCAACAAGATAGCTGGGGCCTAGTGCAGTTGATGAGAAGAGGAATTAAACAGACTGTTTCTGGTTTCTCTGTGAAGAAATGTTTTTATCTGGTTCATTTGTTCATGTTTCTATAATTTCTCCCGTAAGATCCCAAGCATGAAAAAGACAAATCTTTTTCAAGGGCAAGTGTGATATCCCTCTTGAGTGCTGAGACAGTCAAAGATGTACCTACCCTAAGTGTAATCAAGGATAGGAATTCAATAAGAAAATTCTTGTCATTATTTTTCCTAGTTCTATTAATTCCTCTCCACAGTTCTTGCTAATCCAATAATTATTTTCTCCCTCTACAATTCTTYTTCCAAGCAGATTCCTATCAAGCATTCTAAAGTTGTTTCAATTGTTTTTTATGCTCTGATGTTTCTCTATCAGGATTATTAGGATGCGTATCATTAGCAAGCAGCTCTTAATAACTAATTCTTTAATAACCTTTTTCTATACTCCGTRTCTATTTATTCTCACCGCCCTTTATATAGTGATTAGGGATCCTCATTATGAATTCCTATTTATTCACTTTTCCACAACAGCATTTTCTAAGGACCAAGGCCAGCAATTTTTTTCAGGTTTAATCAAAAGTAACAAGCTTTCAAAAGCTACTCCTTAAATATTTCTGCCTGTCCCATGAAGGACTTTAGGTGACAATTAGCCTGAGAGCGATCTACCTACACTTAGAGTGATTTAATTGTCATGCATGCACTGTGTCTGAGAACAGACCTACAGCATTCAACAAGGGATATGCAGAGATCTAAGTCCAAAAGGCTTAGCTCCCTGCAAGTATGCCAGCTAAGTTCTGGAAGCAGTATAGCTACGTGACAGCTGCAGACTTGTGCAGSACCCTAAGCTCAGTCTGTCTGCTASACAACTGGCAGTAGCGCTGGACTGAAGTTACAAACTAGAGTGCCTGCACCAACTAGGACAGGACCATCTGAATACTCTTTTCATACCCTTCTAAGAGGAATAGTGTAAAATAAAGATGGGGCAGAAGGGAAGTTGTGACAAGACAACCTCTAGAGGCACAGGCAGGAGATCCAATAATCAGACACTTACCACTCTTTTTCTTCACAATTTTTTTTTGTCTTCAGCAACATGCAAGTCTTCTCCATAAATAATTCAAAGTACTATTTTTTTTTCATGCTATAGCTAGAATTTTCCTCTAGCACATGATAATTCTTTTCATTTTACATGGAAACAGCATGGAAAGAGAAGCTGGCTTATGACACTAATGAACCAAGCAAGCAGCAGCAAAATGAAAACATCTCTGCAGGATGTTCCCTTTTTGACTTACCTTCAGGAAAAAACTGGTTCAGAACTAATACAAAATGCCTATCCAAAATATGAATTCTTACTAATATAATTAACAAGTAAAGCCCGACTACCTTATTTCCAGCTCTGCTTCCTTTTCAGCTTGCAGTCCAGCTCTAACGAGTTGCTGTAGTCATTAGCGGACATTGACAATATGACTTAGTTCCCAGATGGGTGACTTTTTATACATACTATAATCACTCACACTCCTAAATTAACCCCTGATGGAAAAGGAAGAAGAAAGCAGTCTGACAAGAATATGAGTAACTTAAGTAGCAAGCCACCCCATCTTGCATAACTTTGCAGGGTTCATTATGAAAGCAGGGCTCATTATGGAAGTTTTTCTCATATACAGTGCACAGGACATACAGAAACAGAGTATGAATGCCCTTATCAGGCCCATAGGAATTACTCTGCCAAAACACAAAGATGGTCTTCCTGTCTCTCCTAATGACAGATAAAATCTGATCTTCTGAGAGGCATAACTTCCCCATTATACACTCTGTGTGTGTGTTATTACAGAGGCAGAATGACTTGAGTTTGAACCCAGCTACTACTAATCTTATTTTCAAACATTAAAAAAAAAACAAAAAAGATTTGTAGGATATTAGTAGATCTATCTACCAATGTTATTTTTCTTTTCAACTCTATGTCCAATCCCCTGCATCCTTCTATCTTCTGTTATTTGATATAATAGGTACAATGCAGATAAATGTACTTGAAGCACTTGAAGTTTCATTGTCTTTTAGCATATTCTAGGTTTCATTTCTCTCTAACTCTGAAAACTCAGAAGTGTTGAGGTAGAACACACAATTTTGTAATTTTCTTAATCTGCGATTCACTATTTTGCCAAGCTATAGATCACCAATGGCCTTAAATAGTGTACTGGGTTCACTGCAACAAATATCTTCAGATGCTGAAATGGGTTTAAAAATTTGCATTTAAGAACTTCCACTTAAAGTGGCTTTAGAAAATCTGGGCTGCACTGTGAGACTTGGCATTGTTATGAAAAATTAACTGTCACTATGTTAGTATTAGACAGTACTGAAACAAAATCCAAGAGACAAATACAAATTTAAAATGTTTTGGATCTTCCTAAGAGTTTGAACTGCTTTCATCACAGTATTACTTCTGCAAGTATGTATGAACTTCCAAGGCTGGACTCAGCAACTCGCACTTATGCTTCCAGTTTTAATATTTGCAATGGGGTTTGGGAGATAAAGATGGAAATGATATCTCACCCCCACTAAATTTTAACAGCTTTCTCATACAGTGCTGTACACCTTCCTTACAGATTTTCCAAAACAGAATACTTTGAAAGATTATTAGGGAAAGATATCAATTTCTCCATTGCTCGTCTTGTAAGGACCATGATACTTCTTTGCTCTTCTTAAAAGATTGTTTCAGAGCCACTCCCACAGTAAAATAATACAAGTTAGTTCTAAGGTCACCCTTTTTGTATTTTTCCATATTCTCCAAAGGACAGAGGCAAATCAACACAGTCATTCTGGAGAGTATGATCTGTGTTCATCTAAGGGCTTTCGTGTAGTCAAATAACATTAATTATGAATAGTTCTCTTAACGGTAGACTGCACAGAGCAGAGCAGCCAGGACCCATGGAAGGGCCACATCAGTGTGAACTCAGATGTAAAGGCAGACGCAGCATTTGGTGCAATGCAGAAATGCATTKTGCCAGCCGGGGGGATGTCACTTCTGAGATCATCGGCATGAAGTCCTGGAAGCACAACATTAACTCCCTGGTATTATCTTCAAGGAAGCTTACTGCTCTTCTGTTAAAATCTGTTTCTATATTAGCATGGTCAACTACATTCCTGAAGCCAGTTTCACCCCCCCCAGACACACAAAAGAATCCAAAGAAACCTATTCTTTATTGACAAATCTATTTTAATATTTCACATCACTTGGCCTTAAGACATTCACATGCTAAACTGCTAAACACATTTTAATTTACTTTTGCACAATGACTTACAATTACCTAGTGTAATGCCTGAGGACATACTGAAATCTCAGAAGATGGTTAGATTTGTCCAGAATATCTGTCTTCTAATGACACAGTAGGTCTGTTCTTTACTACAATGTCACCCCTTTTGAGGTGAAAGAAAGAAAAATATTCTGTAACATAAAAAATCAGTGTTCATACATAGCTTAGGCTAGAGAATAAGGGCCGTTTAGAAATCTTACTAGTTAGTACATGCAGGACTCCACAACCTGCTGGGGTGCTTTGTTATACCTTGCATGAGTTCTGCTTTCTACTTGGAAAGAATACATTTCCAATGTATTGGTGACAATTCCACCAAGGAAATAAAATCTTCTTGCTTACAACAGCAAACATGTAAGTTAATATACCAGTAAGTTCAGAATTCTTGGCTAAATTATTATTATTMTTTTATTTCATTTCAAAAATCCCACCTATCATGTTTGGGTTGCTGGTCCTAGTTGCTGAGCAAAATTATGAAGAAARAATTAAGAACTTAAAATCTCTTGAAAATTTGAAGAGATGAGGGTAAACGTCTTGCAAAATAGGTCACTTCTCATAAAAATTTCTTCYTGATATTAAGTTCTGCTTTTTTTTGCACACATCTTTCATTATTCTAGTGAATAAAAGTACCAATCTCTTCATTCTCGTGACCARTGACAGGACTCAAGGAAATGGCCTGAAGCTGAGTCAGGAAAGGTCTAGATTAGATATCAGGAGAAAACTTTTCACCCAGAGATGGTTGGACACTGGAACAGGATCCCCAGAGCAATGCTCACGGGACCAAGCCTGGCAGAGTCTAAGAAGAGTTTGGATAACACTCTTAGGCACATGGTGTGACTCTTAGGGTGTGCTGCATTTGGTCAGGAGYTGGACTTGAAGATCCTGATGGGTCCCTTCCAACTCAAGCTTGTTCTATGATTCTATGTTTACAGTATTTTGGAGACATAGTTTCTACTTCTCAGACCTTAAAAAGACTGGGAAGGAGCCTGCTTTTCACACTGCCCATTCCAATGCCTCTGTGAACAATTTTGCTCCCCACCAACTCAGCTGATCAATGAACCACCAAGCTGTTTCTCCTMATTTCCAAGAAGTACCATCTTCTTCACAGGGCCTACCTGAATCAGTGTCTCCAGCTCTAGCTCAGTTACACAAATGTGCTCCTGAAGAAAGTCAGCCTTCTCTGACGCGATYGTGTTCTTCTGCCTGCTTTCGAAGGGCTGCTCCAGGGCACGGAAGACGAGTCCTCCCGCCACCAGGTAAGCTACCACCACAACAAAGATGGCCACCACTGTTTTCCAATTCATGACTTTCTGCCGGTCTTGAGAAGGGGTTTCCATGGTGGCAATAACAGTGGCTCGGGAGGAAATGGAGAGTTGTGGAGATGGGTAATGCCCGTTAGTTTTGGGCTCAGGAGCACAAGCTGCCACTGGTGAGGGAGCAGCCACTGAAACACAAAGTAAAAAACCTTATTTAAAATCAAATTCCTTAGYATATGACCTTGATTTTCATATAACACTTTCCTAAATAACATTTTCAAGACTCTCACATAAACTATGTTCCTCACATAGATGTGATTCTTCTAATCTGGAAGGTTCCATATCTGCTTTGTCCATCCATATACAATGATACCTCAAGGGTTTTCTTTGTCCGTACTTCTAGAATTTCACCCATTACCTCTAGAACTGGACAGGCCAGTTACATGTGCAAAAATTTCAGAAATATGCAGAAAACCATTTATGCAAAATGAACATGAAAATTTTAACAAGTTAGGATATAAATTACACATGGTGGTTTTTGGTGAAGAACCAAAAGGTAGTGGTTTATGAACTTAGGTAGTGATTTATGAACTTAAATCAGACTACTAATAGTATTAATAGTGTTAAGAAATTGAACTGTTACTGATCACTACCTGACCTGGTATTGACAGAAAAAGAAAATTATTTGCAAACCAAAGTGCTGCTTGTTTGCATAAACTGGCCCATACTATTTACCTGGAATCACTAAACCATCACTTGTGAAAATGTTGTTAAAGCCTGGAAGCTTCACAAATTTTAGCATAAATCATGTGTCAGCCAGAGTATGCTACTATATACTACTTTATCTGAGGTCAAAGTTACATGCCAAGATCARCTATGGACCTCTCACCTTGGGACTGAAACACTGTGCACTACAGATGACCTTAACAATACATCAGAGCTAACAAGTCCTGACCTCCAGCTGGACTTAACAGCATGACCACTGTGTGAAGCTACCAATGCATCTAAATCAAAGCTGGGTCACCTCCAAAGCTGAGTTACCTCCATCGTGTCTCATCACCACACTTCCTCACTCTCTGTTGCTACTGTTATCAATGGCAGGATGAGGCCGAGTTCCTCAGCATCCACTGGTAAAATGGTATCACAGGTAGGCTTTGTAATGCTGGATTCATTTTAAACCAAATTCCTGTGTAATCTTACCATGCTGCAGCTATCACTGGCCTGTAATTTCACTGAAACCAGATTAATTTATTCCATATCAGACCTAAAGCAGATTATGGTTAAAATACACCACTTTAGATGCATACTCTGAACTTATTCACAAGTTGTCTTTTCTGTTTCACTTAGAAATTAAAGAAAAAATATTTACAACCTCCCATCAGAGTGGCACCATAACCTCATTCTCTACAATTTGAACGTACAACATGATTATACCTTGAGTCTGGAATTCTACAACTCTTTCCCAACATAAATCATTTTATAATACTGAATAATCTCAGAACTCAGGCGTTTACTACAGTCACATTTTTCTATGAGGGATACACCTCTGAAGCATGGCATGGTGGGTAGAGTTTCCAGCTTACTTGATAATCAATAAACTACAGACATCTATAGTTGCTTTACACTTACAGTTAATACTCCATTTAATATATGATTTAGAGGTTCCAGATACGAAATAGATTAGAAAGGATCCAGGATCAGAAGACAATCCTTTGTGGTTGGTTCCTTTTTTTGTGTATTTTGCAACACCCTGTGGCACAGCTGGTCAGCTTGACCTTCAAAATGATCATTGACCATTATGGTTCCCAATACTTTTTAGCCAGGATGGAGTGACATCAAATTTAAAAGGATATTTTCTCTTATCTCCAAATATATTTCATGTGAATATTAAGAACTTTAGGTGACAATAAGAAGAACAGTGACAGTATTAGAAAGAAGTTTTGGGGGTTTTTTGTAAGGTATCAATATATTTATTCTCTAAGTCTCCTGTAAGTGCTATTATAATAAATACAGTGAGTTTCGCAGGAAACACCGGAAAAGTATTCAGAAGAAATATGAAATACRCAGGTTGCATGAAGCAGTTAGAACYTCCCTTTCTCTATAGGGAAATATCTTAAACCTGAGTCACAACATCTCCTTATTGAACTAAACTTGAGTACTCACAGAAGTGGCTCAGTTGATGTAACTCAGTGTAACATGACTTCCATGGATTCCATGAAATTCAATCAATTTGCATTAGTTAGACCCCATAACTATTGTGTATATTGTGAACCAAAACAAAATCTGCAAGCCTGAAAGCTGATTTTGCACACTTGTGCTTACTCAGCATCAGGATCCAAGGCTCACATGGTAAGAAGAGAGCAGAATCTATGTGAGACAATGCTACAGTTTTTTTTAAATAGGTATCCACCTTACATAACTAGCATAGTCTAGTGTAGATCGGGTGAGCTTCGCAGTGGAAAGCAATKCCTGCCATGGATGTCCCACAAATGAGAAGTCAAGAAGATGGAAGTTAGGAGCTGGTATCATTAAAACAGKGTTTTTCTTTTCCTCTCTGCTAGTATAAATGTTTCTTATTCAAATAATGTTTCGGATGCAGTGCTAGTAACAGCCTTACAGAAAAATCACGGCCTTTTTGATTCTATCTTCTAAGGAAAATGTGTGGTACTCATTTAAGAACAAGATGGGAAGTTCACAGTAGACAATATAAAACATTCTTATAAATATTATGTCACTTAAACAGCTTAAAGGATCAGTTTGCTTATCTCTAAAAAGAAGAACTGTCTTAGTCTTTCATTTTCTGCTATTAGTAATAGCTACCCTAAGTGAATGTAGAACTGGTGAACCTAAAGTACTTGATACTATATAAATAAATGTGCAGAAAGACTGTACTAAAGCAGCTAATTAAGCAACTTATGTATGACATAAATGGTCTTCTTACAAAGCTGATCCACAAGGCACAACTACAGTCCATACTGCAGAGATTTTAAGCAGGAGTTAGGTACTAGAAGAACAGCGTAGGTACTCCAAGTAGGAGCTATCCCACTCTTTACAAGACACTAGGGTTAGTGACTTTAGCACATTGTAACAAGTCAGAAGTCCTGATTTCTAATTGGAACACTGTCTCTGTGAACCTGTACTCTCACAAAAGTGTTGCCACTTGCCTTTAAACCATGGTTTCATCAACTGCAAAAAGAGAAAATAGTGCTTACTTTTCTAGCACAAGTGCCCTGGAAGATGTCATGAACAAAAGAGCTACATAAATGTCCAGAAGTTTAAAAAATTGTTTTACTAAAATCAAAGGATGGGCTCCATTGTTTATTCAACAGTGTGCAGGAGTAAACAATTTTAAAAAATAAAGGCCTACATAAATTCTCGCATTTGTAGAGATTATTTAGACCATAATTTAGGACAAAAATAGAGCAAAAGAGGATATGTTTACAATAAACACAGAACAATCCCTACTTCATTTGTTCATATTTTTACAAAAAAGCTGCTGTCACAGTGGTCTTTCCCCAGAGTCTTATCCATATGTGTTTGTTAAATCATACTGAAGAAGTCCTAATCTTCCTCAGTGAAAGCAATGATAGATACCCATTCACATACATGCACTATATTAGCAGACAGCTGATCTCAGAGGTACGGGAACTCTCAAAGGAACATTCCAGTGTTTCAAAACAGGCCTTATTCCAGTGAGAGGATGCCACTTAGCAAAGAAAGGTAAGTTCCTGATTGTTTGGACAACCTTCAAAATAAAGCCACTGAAGATATTAACATTACAAGTGAAATTGCAATGTTAGGCTCTGTACAGGGTTCACATCTGAGATCACTCCATTACCTGCGCTTGTACTGGTGAACAGCACAGCTATGACTCCCATTGATGTGAGGAGCTTAAAAASCTCAGATTTCTGTTAAGATTGATGATATTTAAGGAAGCAAAACTCTCACTCACCGTAAAGATGACAGGGCAAAGCTTAACTAATTATAGTTGTAGGCAATTCTTTCCTGTGGGGAGCAGAGGGCCCAGCATACTGACCAGGCCCCATGTACT